TAAATAAAATTGCATGAATGGTTGGCGAACATCAGCCAAAAACAAGTGTAATACAACTTCCAGTCCAGTAGATGTCGCTGCGGATGTGTTGACGCACGCTGCCTTGTGTCACAAGCATTTCCGGCCACGGGATACTGCGCAGAGTCATTAAAAAAAAAAAACATGGAGGAGAAAATATTGCAATGCATCGCAATAATTCAAGTATTGTGATGAATCGTGATTCGAATCGAATCGTGACGTCTTTGGCAATACCCACCCCTACTGGAGGGGGGTGGAAACGGGGTAATCTGAATGATGTCACAGCGCATCCGCCGCCTGTTTACTAGGTAGCAGTCAGAGTTGTGGATTGGAGGCCTTTTAAGATGAACTTTGGATGCTGATTGGCTTTCGTGGAGGCGTGGTTTAAAGCTGATTGGCTGTGACGCAGGTGGATGTATGAAAAACAAAGAGTTTCTTTAGGTGAACTTCTGTCTAGGATCCATTTAAACAGAGAGCACAGAGAGAAGCAGGCAGAGCTGCAGATGTAAAGGTGAAACAGATTTACTGGTTTATGCAACATGCAATAAAATATATCTCCAAGTTTACCAGAAAGTTTACAAGAAAATAACATTCTATGCTATATTTAAAATGCAGCATCCATTTTTCTGGATGGATGGATTTGAAATTGTTCTTCTAGGGATGCATGATATATCGATTTTGGCATCAGAATCGGCTTTTATTGGTTATTATTTTATACTTTAATATTTTTGGGCCCTACATATATATAAAATGCACTAAAAGGAATCTCTCTGACTATCTATAAATATAAATATCAGTATTGTGGTACTCGTGTTCTCAACAATAGGAAAGCATTTAATAATAAATATATGTTTGAGCTCATTTTTGGAAAATTTAAATCATGTTTAAACCTCTTCTCTGTTAATGTTCATGATAACAGAAGACAGAAATGAAACATGAAAATAAAATGGATCCATTTTGAGAAGTTTGGACTTAAGTGCATCAAAAAAATAATTTAACTGCATTTATAAAAAAACAAAACTGAAAAATTATTTATCCATATCCTGAATTGATATTCTTAGCTTTCTTAGCACACTAAAGTGCTTTTATTAACACTTGAATTTACAAAAAAAAACGTTTTTAGTTTGATTGATGTTTTGTTTTGTTGGAAATTCACACATTGACTAAACTGCTGCTAATGAAAGATTAACCTACAATAGTTAAGAAAAACCTCAAATCTGACAAAAGTAATAATAAGAAAATTCTATTAATATGAATAGAATGGGTCATTATCTGGGCCTTGATGACTGGCCTGATTATTCATTTCATTGACCTGCCTATCTCATCTGAACCACCTGCTCCCGCCTCTATTTGACATGCCGTCTTCCAGTCATCAGCGCCATGTTATGCGAGCCCTTGGTGAGAGTCTTCTAGCCTACCTGTGTTGTCTGATTCTGACCCATTCTGCCTTTGGACCTCTGAGCCTCCCTGTTCCCATTCTGATCTGTTTGTCTGACCTGTCCTTGGACTTCTGCTTCTGCAACCTAAGCACGTCCTCGTCACCGGCTTTGGCTTCACCCTCTAGATTAGCCTTCCTTCATCGGCTCGGCTCTGACCTCCGGGGCTTCTGAGTCCCTCTGGGCAACAACCGTTGCTTCATGTTGGCAGCCGACCGGGTGGAACCAACCTCATCCTCTGGTCACGGACTGAACACCCTCCGTCAGATTAACGTGGTCTTGACAGGATGAAAGTCAGACACTGATTTTCAGCCAAAAAGTTATTTAGAATAATAAACTGATGAAACAGACCAGTACTAAAATAATAGAAGGATGTGAAACCAAGGTGTGTCCACCAATCAGCATCACAGGTCTCTGCAGTCTAG